AATAATAATAATTCATTAAATTATGTTTTGAATGATCTAATTCAACAACAAACCAATCTATATTATATAAATATCTATATCTATATGTCTTTCTTATCATTTCAACTGTTTATAATATTTCTTCTAACTAATTTTAAGAATTGGATCCAAAACTTTTGTTACACAAAACACATATTCGGGATAATTACCTAGTTAATGTTGTGTATATAATCATTTGGTGGTGGGGTTTAATCATTTGTTGGGTTATGGTATTTGCATTACAACTCAATAATCTTGTGGGCTAATACCGTTAGCTTGGCTTGTGAGTGACTAGATGGGTGCATGACTGGAGGTATATACATGGGCAGTGATCCAATGCAAATAGAGTCAATAATAGGAACACGTATCACCTAGACAGACGGACTATCCAATGCATATGGAGACAAGTCAATAAAAGGAACACGTGTCACCTAGATAAACGGGCAGGGTGCGGGCAGGGGTGGTGTACGTGCACATACGAGCAAGGTGCAGGCAGGTGTGGTGGGCACAAACGGGCAAGGTGCGGGCAAGTGTGGTGGGCACAAACGGGAAGGGGTGGCGGGCACTATAGGCCAACTACATAGAGAGTTGTATTTGGTCATGATTATTTTCCTTTCCTTCCCCTATAATCAATTTCAAGGAAGAATAAAAAATATCCCTTTTTATGTATAAATAGTGACATTTTGAATATTCCAGACAAATCAACCTAGATAGATTAATGAAACTCTATCAAAATACTCGTTCATTCCAGGCTTGTAATATTTTTCTGGCCCTTATGTTGCCAAAATAATTCAACTATAGTGATTTTTATTCTCACATATTTTAACATATTTTGATAAATACTGGTATTGAAATATTGAATGTTCGAGTCTAACATTCACACTTAACCTTGAATACCCCGGGTCAAGAATGTCATCATTATATCTTTCAAATTTAAAAAGAAAATTTCAAAAAAAAAAAAAATTGACACAAAAAGAATGATTAACGTGATTCAAAAAGATTACAAAAGCAAATCAGATCACATATCTTTATATAAATTAAAAAAAATGCCTAATCAAAGTTTACTTTAAATATAAAATTGTAATTAACAATGTAACGTACGTATTGATTATCCTAGCTTTCCATTTGGTATAGAATATTTACTGAGACCCAAATTAAATTTTAAAAAACATTAAAAATAACTTATCTACTCTTCTCAATATTTTTTAAAGGAAAATAAATAAAATAAAATATCACCAACCTCCATTTAGCCAAAGAGTAAGCGGAAGCCGCCTATGAACATCTTTCTCAGCTTCAACGAAGTAGTAAAACAAACTCCTCCCGGCCTTCTCGTCGACGTCCACGTAGCCGGAGAATTGCCGGAAAGATACTTCCGGCTGTCCGGGCAGTCCCACCACTAAATCTTCTTCCGGGTAGCCATAAACTCCGCCGCCGCCGCCGCAGAACAACAAAGACAGACATACGAAACATATGACAAGACGACCCATAATAAGTCTTACATACGTTGTTGAACACCAGCCCGCCGCGGCAGTCAAGAGAAATGAAAAATGAAAAATATATGAAACAATGGAAGGATTGGAAGCTTATATTAGCCCCCTCTCTCTCTCTTGATCTCTTTCTCTCTCTATTTATAGATATATACCATGCATGCAAGGAAAAAAATATTCTTTTCCTTTTTTTGACAGATTTAACTGAAACTCGAATTCAGAAAGAATTATATTAAAAAGTAGGAAAAATGTGAAGTGGGGAGACGAAGAAAAGGGGTTTTTTGTGTGAAATTTGTTGCCTAGCTTTGGTAGTGGCACGTGAATTTGGGGCCGTTTCATTTTGCTTTCGTAACTTATTTAAATTCAATTATTATTTATTTCAAGTATTTAAAACTATACTAAATATATTCCTTTTTCAAATTCCAGTGTAAATGCATCTTTTTTGGGTCTAATGATCTTGGGTGTTCCCTCCATCTCTTCCAAATATATATATATATATATATATATATATATATATATATATATATAATAATAATAATAATAATAATAATAATAATAATAATAATAATAATTTTCCATACTTTACGATAGTTGAATAATTTAATTATTGCGAGGAAGTTTGTTAAAAGAGTTAATTCTAGTTTTGGTCCTAGATTTATAGGTGACAACCGTGACATACTTCTTTTTTATAACACTCACATTTGGTCTTAATATTATTATGTCATGACATTTTTTATCATCTATCAATAAAATAGTTTAATTTCGTTAAATACAAAGTCATTTCAGTCTTCAATTATGATTTTTTTTTTAAAAAAAAAAAAACATAAAAATATAGCGGGCTCAACTCACTTTGTAAAAAAAAATGATCAAAATGTCTTTGTATTTAACAATATTTCAACAATTTTGTTGGTGAAAGACCAAAAATGGTCATGTCACAATAATACTAGGGCCAAATGTAGATGTTTTAATAAAAAATAATTAAACATAGACAGACACCTATAAATTACTGACAAAAAATGGAATTAACTCTTTGTTAAAATTTTACAATATTTTTTTTACCACTTTCAATAATATATAGTATATTATTTGAAGTGGGGCTGGTATTTACTTACCAAAGTTACTATTTTGAATAGTATTTGGGTGAGAGGTCTCCAATGACGTCAGATTGATATGTTGTATTAGTCTTATTTTATAAGATGTGGATATTAATGCAATATGAAAAAAATAAAAACATTTTTGGTTCGTAAATCGTAATTAAGTTTTAATATCTTATGACTTTTTTTTTTTTTTAAAAGTAATATGTTATGACTTAGTTCTTGAATTATTCACGTAAATCATCTTATTTGCATAATTTATTGGTCTGATTAGTCATTTTTAAAATGATAGTCATGGCCGCATTTCTGTATAGCTTATTGCATGCATTTAACATTTAAAACTCAAAATTTCCTCTAAATCTTTTCTTTCTCTGGCATACCAACCCCTTTGCTCGCAAATTTTTATAGCAAATTAAAGAAATTGGAAAAACAACAAGATTTAAGTCTTCATCCTCACTAATCTCTATTAAGATCATCCTCACACTACCATGACTAAAATTCAGAGAAAGAATTGCTAACATTTAGTTCTTGGCGTTGTCCAGTTTCAGAGTTCCCAGCCAAGAGATCGACCATTATTGACCCCATCAATGTTGCCATTGTTGTTAATTTTGTTAAAAATCGTGTTATGCCAAGAGGCCATTGTAACACTCTCCAAATTCTAAGTACAGAATACCCAAAGAAATGCGGAAGCGAATTCAAAACTTTAAACTCAAATGAAGTGTTATCCCATGCTTAGGTTACTCTAAACCCAAACGCACAGGCTTACAAAGGTTTTCTACTCAAACTGTTTACAAGGTACACTACAACTAACTATAGAACAATCTAGGTTCTACTCCAATGAACTAAACCATTCATACTAGATAGCGCTCTCGGGAAACATCTCTAAGCCATCCTGAAAACATTTTAAAAGAATTAGCGAATAATGCTAAGTAAAACCACTCCAACATGTAAAGATACATAAATATACTTTTATACCAAAATAGGTTTTGCAACGGTATGGCTACATATATATATATAATACCAACGAACTCAGCTGAAGGATTTCAAAAACAGATACTCAATCAATAAAGCTCAATTCTAGGGACACTAGACCCATTTCAAGAATAACAAGACTTAATAGGCAATTCAAGAGATATAACCAAGTTAACCAATCATGGGATTCCAAGAGTTCTCACACATCAACAAGTTACTGTGATATATATATATATATATATATATATATATATATATATATATATATATATATATATAGCCAAGGAGTTTATATATCAATAGCCAAATGCTCAATAATCAAATCAATATAAATATCAATCAATACCCAACCAAACTCCAATTCAACCTTTACACCAAGAGTCCAACTTTACACCAGTCCAACCTTATCAACCAAATAAAGCCTAAGCTTCTTCCGCCAAACAAAGTGGAGACGAAGCTCTCCAATCCACCATTCCAATGAAGCCCAATAATACAATAATAATACAATATAACCAACAAAATGCATATATATACCATCAAGTCACTCAAGAATCAATTGATACCAAAGAACAAGGATCCGTGAAGGAATCACAATTCAAACGGAGGCCAAAGGGTTCATAAAATACCGGGAAGGACTTACAATGGACCAAAGACCAAACAACAATGCACTAGAAGTTAAGAAGTGCATTCTGGAGAATCAACTCTCAGGACCTTACGGTCATATGTCACGGGAAAAGGTAGCCCGCCACACTCTACCGCACGAAGGAAACAGATGTGCATGTGCAACGGCAAAGGATTCCTGCCACACACCCCTGCAAGACACCTTGCAGATGTCCCTCACGGGCATCTCATGCCCGCAAGGCCAAATTTACAGCAGAAACAGTACGAAGCATACTACAAAATAGCAATGCTATTTCATCAAAACAACGGCTAAAACACATCAAGAAGACTATTCCAACAACACTAGAATGCCAACCAATCATATGATATCAACGATAGACATCATAGCTCAAGATTAACACCAAGAATACACAAGAACAAGGCTCATATCAAGAGATAATACCAAGAACATACTCAGGGATTTCCAAAAACATCAAGAACATTTATATAAGTTGGAAATAGGTTTTGATGGACATGGAGTTTACCTTTCAAGCTAGCAAACCAATGCTCAAACACCAAGCATCAACCTAGCAACTTATCTCCATCTTGAACCTCTAGAAATCCCAAAACCCCAATGTAGGAAGATTAAGAACATGAAATAAAGACTATGAAATGAGATGGGAAAAGGCAAGGTGAAAGATGATATTACTTTGTTTTGTTGGAAAGATGCATAAAAGAGTAAATATTTTTGTTAGACTGGGCGGATAAGTACTATACAAATATTTTTAAATCGGGAGGAGCTACGGATTGTTCAGTCCTAGATGGCTTTATGAAGAGGATTACAGCGACAGACAACGAGAGGCTTCTTCGGCCGTTTACGGTGGAAGAGGTTAAGGATGCGCTTTTCTCTATGGCCCCCGATAAATCCCCAGGTCCCGATGGCTTTAGCCCAGCCTTCTTTCAACACTTCTGGAATGAGATTGGAGGAGATGTATCACACTTTATTCTGGAATGTTTGAATGGACACGCATGGCCTATAGGAATGAATGATGCATATGTAACTTTGATTCCAAAAAAAGCAATGCCAACATATACGGGGGATCTTAGGCCTATCGCTCTTTGCAACGTGACTTATAAGATACTTTCTAAAGTTTTGGCTAATAGGCTTAAGGAAGTGCTTGATGGTGCAATCTCGGCTCCCCAGAGTGCCTTCTTACCCGGCCGGCTCATAACCGATAACGTTCTCATTGCCTCCGAGGTGGTACACTATTTACATCGAAAGAGACAAGGAAGTACGGGCTGGTGTGCGTTAAAGCTTGATATGGCCAAGGCCTATGACAAGATGGAGTGGGGATTTCTTGAACAGATTTTGCTACGCATGGGTTTTGATGGTCGTTGGATTGATATTATTTTGAGGTGTGTCACGACGGTCCGCTATAAGGTTAGTCTTAATGGTTGTCTCACTAATCATATTCTTCCTACACGAGGTTTAAGACAAGGTGATCCACTTTCGCCTTATCTTTTTATTCTCTGTGCTGAAGGCTTGGGTTATTTATTATCAAAGGCAGTCCTGTCAAGAAGAATATCACCTTGTGTTGTAGCTCGTGGTGCTCCAGGTATCTCTCATCTGTTTTTTGCAGATGACAGCCTATTGTTCTTTAAGGCTACAACCGCCGAGGCTATGGTTGTTAAAGACTGTTTAAATACTTATGAAGCGATGTCTGGCCAGTCTGTGAACTTCAATAAGTCTTGCATATTGTTCAGTCCTAATACTACTGCCGATTTAAAGAATGCTGTTACCACTGTCCTCAATGTTGATACAGTAAACAATTTAGGCAAGTATCTGGGTTTGCCTATGGGGATTGGGCGTAATAGAAAGGAGGTTTTTTCGTATATTGAGGCAAAACTCAGACATAGGCTCGCTGGTTGGCATAAAAATGTGTTATCTCGTGCCGGAAAGGAAATCTTGATCAAAAGTGTTGCACAGGCCTTACCTACGTACACAATGAGCATATACTATTTACCATTGACATTCTGTGAGCACCTCGAGCGTATCATGAATCAATTTTGGTGGTGTAATAAAGGCAGTGGGATCCGTTGGATGGCATGGCAACGAATATGTTCTCCTAAAGCAGTTGGAGGTCTTGGCTTTAAACATCTAAATAGGTTCAATCTCGCTTTACTTGCTAAGCAAGGTTGGCGCCTACTTACAAATCCTACCTCCCTGACAGCCCGTATCTTTAAATCTCGGTACTATCCAAATGAGGAGTTCTTGGATGCTAAGATTGGTGCTAACCCTAGCTATGTATGGCGTTCAATCCTAGCAGGCAAAGATATTTTAACCACGGGTTGTGTAAAGCGTATTGGTAATGGGGAGAGTACGCAAGTGTGGAAGCACCCTTGGCTACCTGATGCAGTAGATCCTTTCGTTCACTCACCATGCACAACTTTGGATTGTACAATGACAGTTAGTGAGTTGGTTGATCCAGTGACTAAGGATTGGGACCTTGCAAAGTTGAATCAGCTTTTTGATGCCCGAGATGTGGGTTTGATTACGAGCATTCCTGTAGCGCTGGATTTCAACGATAGTTGGTGTTGGCGGGAGGATAGTAGAGGACAGTATTCGGTGAAGAATGGGTATAAGCTCCTTGCCACGCTACATAATGATGGTCAGCATATTAACTTTGCCTGGAAGAAGCTATGGAATCTCAAAATCCCTCCAAATGTGTGTAATTTTCTGTGGAGATGCTTACATGGTGTCCTACCAACAATGGTTGCCATATGTTCGAGAAGAGTGGATGTTGATACATGCTGTCATCTCTGTAAACAGCACTCGGAAACCGTAAGGCATTTATTTTTTGATTGCATTCACGTACAGGCTATTTGGAACCCTACTTACCGTCAGCTCATAGCGGAGGATGATGATTTTCCGGCTTGCCTTTCTAAATGGCTTGCAGCAGCGAATGAGAGTATTGTTAAGTGGTGTGTCGCTGCTTGTTGGGCGGTGTGGAAGCATCGTAATGCACTGGTTTGGAGTAATAAACCATGGAATCCTACTTCTGTAATTATGGACATTTCCAACATGGTTATGGAATGGGAGGACATGGATTTGCATGATGTACGTGTGCGTACTACTACAGCAAATGCAAGCCCAATGGATGTGGCTCCAGGTACGATGATGATATATGTGGATGCAGCGGTATTTGTTGATTTGAGAGAAGCTTATGTTGGAGTCTATATGACTAATAGTGCAGGGGATTATGTGGCGGCGAAGAACGGCTCCATAAGATGTTTGAATGATGTCCTTCTAGTCGAAGCTATGGCGGTGAAGGAGGCTTTATCCTGGGCAAAAGAAAGAGGGGATAACAATGTGATAATTTATTCCGATTGCCAGATGGTTTGTAAATGGTTTGATAGTGTGGCACGAGATCTTTCATATGCAGGTTGTATCCTAGAGGAGTGCCGAACTCTAAAACGACTATTTGAATCAGTGTCTATTCGTTTTATTCCGAGATCAGCGAACAAGTTTGCTCATACTCTTGCTAGAGCTACTCGTTCACAACCTGGTCCTATGTGTTGGCTTTCAGTGATTCCTTCTTGTATTGGACACTTATTTTAATAAATCTAGTTCTTTTCCTTTCAAAAAAAAAAAAAAAAGAGTAATCTTGGTGGAGTTTTGTTTGTAGGAGGTGAAAGTGGTTTCTTGTGTGATGAAGAGGAAAATAGCGTGTGGATTGAGTGTGGTGGAGCAGGGAGGAAGACAAAGTGTTGAGATATTATTTGTAGGGATAGCTATGACAAAACATTATATACAATATGGTGTATATATTAGGTTTAGGAAGCTAAGGGATTGGGTTATAATATAACGTATTGGGCTCTTTATATTATATTAAAACATAAGGTTCAATCTTATGAGTTGGGCTAACTATAATATATATAATAAAAAGTCAAGGTTTATATTATATAGGTTGGGCTACAAGACTAAATAATAATAATAGTAATAGGATAAGAATTAGGAATTGGGGTTTAATATATTTATATCGACTAGGGATTTATTTATGTTAGGAAATTGGGCTCAATTGAAGAACAAATCCCTTATCAAAATGATTACAAGTACTAATTATGTAATAATTAGTACGGTGTGTCACATCCATCAATGGCTCCGATTTTGCCATTGTTGTTGATTTTGCCAAAAACAGTGCTATGGCTACGATGATACGCTTGAATTGGTTTCCAAAGTCTTCGTGTTTTTACTGTGTTGGTGTTGATTTTCACCGTTGTCGTTGTTGGTGCTAATTTTCATTGTTCACCTATTGCGGGGTAGGCTTTTGGAAAGAAGAGAATAATGAATTAGGGTTGATTTGGCTTACTTTAATTAGATTTTGATTTGTGATCAATAGCTACATATTTTTATAATTGTAATTTGACCCAAAACTAATAATAATAATAATAATAATAATAATAATTATTATTATTATTATTATTATTATTATTATTATTTAAAATAAAGTTATTCTAATATATATATATATATATATATATATATATATATATATATATATATATATATATAATTAAAATTTATGTTACATTAAATATATTCTATCCAACCGTGCATGAAACGTGCACTATGGTAACAATTATGATAGGGATTATTGCTTATATAAAGGCCATTACACGCACATAAGTGGAGGGACGGGGTGGGGGTGGGGTTGGGGGGGGGGGGCGGGGGCTTCTTTTCCTCTCTCTACTCCCTCTCTAGAATATAAAACATCTCTCTGCAAGTATTACTAGAATATAAAACACGTACTCTCTACAACTATCGAGGAGGACCATTTTCTCTCATGCTCAAGAACACTTAATAAGAAAAGGCTTCATTAGGCCAATTTGTCTCTTCTTCCCCATATATTCATGTATACAAATACAACAATAACTACTTAGCAACAATTTATACTATTAAATTAAATGATGAAAAGTGATTAAACGTGCATCGCACGTGTATCGCACGTATAATTTATATCAATAATTATAAATTTATAATTATCAATAATTATAATTATAAATTTAATAACAATACTATTGATAATTATAAATTTAATAATATTATTATTGATATGGTTTCTGTTTAATTATGTAGATTTTTACACCCTGCCATTTTCTCCATGCTATATGTACCCTCTCTTAGGAAGACTATGCTCACATGAAGCAATCTATCTTCTTCAGTGCCAAGAACCTCAAGAAAAGGAGGTTGATTATGCGCAAAGGGCGCAGTGGCTCAGAGCTGCCGTGCTGGGAGCCAACATGTCGATACACGTGCGACACCTTAGATCGATTATGTTGTCTGATATTATTCTTGTTTGAATTGAAAAAAATAATTGTTCAATTACCCGTGCGATGCACGTGCAATGCCACCCCGTCGGGTAGAAATTTTATTACCCGCGCGGGTGCAAGAAATAGGTTGGGAATACGGGTGCGGGGGCGGGAAATATATCCCCACACACGCCCCGCGACATTGCCATCCCTAATCATGTGTGAACGCAAAAGATCCCCCTCCCCAACCTCCAATCAATTACTCCACCATAGAATCGATTTCAGTGTGTAGTTAGGGATAATCAAGAAAGGGATATGTACTAAATAAATAAATAAATCTTTAATAAATAAATTATATTGGTGTCAACATCTTGATCCGATCCTCATGCTTCATCTTCCAACTACGTACTATAAATGGCATCATCCAGAGGCGTGTGCCATCCACACTTGTCCATATCTATTTTCTTTCTTTCTTTCTTTCATCCTTCCCAAACCCTCAACTATTCCTTCATTTCCTGCAAACCCTTTCGAGCAAAAACTATAATTTTCATCCCACGAGAAGAAAAAACAAATCTTGGCTATACTTTTAATTTGATATATAGATTTTGGGTGGTTTGGATCATGGAAATGGCCAAGAAACAAAACAACCTTAATGAGATTAAGCAATTAGAGTCGTTGTTGATGTCGAAAGACAACAACCCACAATGCAAGATGGGCAGTTTGAGGTTGAGGTGGCCGTCGATTACTCCAAGAGGGCACAGTGGCTGAGAGCCGCCGTGCTGGGGGCGAACGACGGCTATAATGATGAGTTCTGCTGACCAAATGATCACTCAGATTCAAAGAACTTTTACCCATAGCATCCCTTAACCAAATTGATCATGTTGTTTTCTTGACAACTACAAGATTATAAATTCAATATGTAGTGAAAGTGAACCTTGGTTTAATTTGAACTAGTTAGCAATGGACAATGATTTATCTCTTTGTGATCCTTTAATTTGTCGGTTAAGGTAACAAAACAAGATTGTAAGCTAGCCCTCAAGTGCATTTCCCCTCTATCATCATCCAAATAAATTGAGTGTGTGGGCTCTGAACTTCTGATTCAAATTCAAAAATCCTCATCAAGCAAGCTAGTAAATTCATGACACTTGACAAAAAATGAAATTTATTATGAAACTTGACAAAAAGAATCTCAAAGCTTTCACTTTCACTGTGTGGTGGGAGAGGTAAATTACTAAGTTTGTTAGAATATATGTATCAATAAGGCCAAATATTATGGCCATCTAGCTATGTAGAAAAGCATTTGGAGTCAGAAACACTGCTGGAAATTATGGAATTTCCGACCACTTAAAAGTGATCTTAAATCAAGTCAAAAGTCTTGTTCCGAACACTTTTGGTATCCGGAAAAACCTTTGTTGCTATTTTAGACCACTTTTTGCTTTCAAATTGATTTAAGATCACTTTCAGGTGGTCGGAAATTCCATAATTTCCAGCAGTGAAAAGTCTATCCATGATGATCATGTAGCTATGGAAGTCACTTGGATGCATGGCATATTAAGCATCCTATATTTTATTAGCACATACATACACAATTCACAATTGCCAAACTAACATAAAACACACTAAGAGCTATAACTTATACACTATTGGCACATTTCGACTAAAAGTACAGTTTTTAACCACAACACAAATGAGACCCTAGTGATTAGGGTTCAATCTTTTTGAAAACACATAAAAAGGCTAAAGGGCATGCATGCATTCATGCATAAACACTGGTGGAAATTGTGAAATTTCCGACCACCTGAAAGTGATCTTAAATCAAGTTGAAAGTAAAAAGTGATCGAAAATAGCAACAAAGGTTTTTCCCGATACTAAAAGTGGTCGGAACAAGATTTTCGACTTGATTAAATCACTTCAGGTGGTCGGAAATTCCATAATTTCCAGCTGTAAAAACCAAGATACAATTAATAATAATCACATCTCCAGTCCAGTAGAGCCAATGAGTTTGGTGAGCCCAAAGGTGATAGCCATGGCCATCCACCCTCCAATAACCACCCTCGCACAAGACTTCATCTTTGGACTCTTCCCCAGAACCGCACCAACCCCTCCAAACGCCAACAGCGCTAAGCTCACGGCGGAAGCCACCACCGCAACTCTCACTTTCCGATCCGCTATGAAGGCGGCGGCGAGCAGCGGCACCACCGCACCTAGCGCAAATGCAAGGGCGGACGCCATGGCGGCCTGAAACGGATTCGGCAGTCTTTCTTTCTCGCCGCCGTCAGTACTGTCGTTCCCTTCTCTCTTCATTTGGGATAGTTGTATGTCTCGTTGAGAGTAGACGGAGACAAACTCCCCTATCGCCATGCTGCAAGAGCCGGCAAACAGGCCTGCGAATCCGGCGAGGATCATGGCGGTGGCGTCTTTTTTGACGGCTCCGACGCCCATCATTAGCGACGCCGTGGAAACCAGCCCGTCGTTGGCTCCCAGCACGGCGGCCCTCAGCCACTGTGCTCTCTGGGAGTAGTCAAACGACTCCTCTTCTGGGATTTGGGTTTGGTTTCTCTTAGGGATAGAAATTTCAATGGCAGCCATGAAGAATGAAGTTAAGGTAGTTCTTGAAAGAAAGAAAGAAAGAAGGATTATATTGTTTGTTGTTTGTTGATGATATTGTCTCAATGGAGACTAAGATATTTATAGAGAATAGGATCATTGCTTCTTGATTTTTTTATTACACAGTATTTGTTAATGCATCATAATATACTTTTTCTTTTTCTGAGTGTGTAAAAGGGCGAATTTAGCTAAGTTGGTCAGGTTGTTGACTTGCTAATTATATGGTTATAAGTTTAATTCTTAATGAGAGCAATGATGGATACCCCCGAGTGGGTACCCAGCCAGGAGCATGCCCAGACACTCGGGACTTGCAGCCTATCCAACTAATCCAAGAGACGGGTGGGACCCAGACCCGGGAGCGTATACAAGGATAGGCGGCCTTCAATCATTTGCGGCCGACCAACACTATGTGTATTGATTTTCTTGGTTTGAACAAGTCACTTATGGGCAATCTAGGCTAGTTTACCTCTTTATAGTCCTTTGCTTACTAGAATCACAAGATGGGGCTAGTGCACACCCTCGAGTAGTGGCTGCACGTTCCCATTATCATTAAAAAAAAAAAAAAAAAAAATAGAGTGTAAGTTCTGATTCAAATTCAAGAATCATCAACAGGCCAACTAGTAAATTCATGGCACTCGGCAAAAAGAATCACACTCCAATCTTGAAACTTTCCCCTTCTCTGCGTGGTGGGAGAGGTAAATCGGAGAATGTGGCTTAATGATCTGTTATAATTGTCATATGGTCAGGAAACTCGATGGTTGGTGATATTTTGGCATCTCCAAGGGTCAAAAATGGTGGCCATTCATAGGTGCATGATACCTTAATTAATCAGGTAGTTGAGAATATGGAGTGCTGCATAGGACAGCACTTGAGTGATTAATGGAGAGATAAAAGATAATACAACTATATATTATAAAAATGGAGGGAGTGTGTTCTCCACAGTAAAGTGAAGAACAGATAATGTTATAATATTGCAGGAAGTGTGGAATCTACATGAATGCCACAAGCTCCTGATTATTCAATTTCAGATGAATGAAAAGTCATTCTCAGATCACTACAAAATTTTAGGCCTTTTTTTTTTTTTTTTTTGTGTGTGTGTGTGAGAGTGACAATGGAACTCATGCAGCTAGTATTTGAGGGTGTGCCCAGTCTAAATCCCATCTTATGACATTTAGCAGGCAAATAACTACAATGAGATAAATCAATCCAGATTATCTATAGTTGACCAGTTCAGACCAATAAATGTCAATAAGCCGCTCCGGCTAAGAGTCAAATTGTCTAACTAGGGTTGCCCATAATGGACACTCATTCAACATTATTGTAAATTGTATAAAACTGCAGAGAGTGTGGATTCCACATCCTGAATACTGTAAAGATGTGAACTTTTTCACTTTCAGGACAAAGCTAGCTCCTTTACAATTCCATGGAAGAAACAATCAAGATTGTTGCATATATGAAACCAGATATGCATCTGTCTTCTTTTCTTCTTCTTCTTCTTTGCCTTTTAGGGATTAGGAGGGAGGGATTCTTGATTGGAATTGATCTGAGTTAAACCAGAAAGATGAGTAGTCTGTCCATTAATGGCTTTTGTGCAGGATAGATTCTGATGTTCTTGAATTGAAAGTGGATAAGGTTTTGAATAGTAATTGCCTAATTGGAGATCCATCAATTAGGAGACTGTAAATTCACAAAGTTAGTTGGAATATATATCAACTTTAGAAGGATGGGTTGTGGAATCCACATATACCAGACATCTGCAGTTGTGTGTTCTGTGCCTCCTCCCAATTACCACAACTAAGAAAAGATCATTAAATTTATACTCCGTATAGTATATACTAATATTCCTACATATGATGTAGGATGGATCGAAATGGTAGAATTCAAACTTGGGATTGACCACCATCAAAACCCATGTTAAGTTGATGTTAAAGAGATAGTAAAGTCGAGTTAAATCACAAATCGGTTCTCAAGTTCCCAATTTTGACTTTACATTCTGCACACAGCGCACAAAGGGTCTATCTCTTTTGATCGGTCGAAGTTTTCATTTCAATGACCCCCCGGTTCCTAGTGCATGGGTTCTCAATATAGTAGAGCCACTGGAGCAAAATTGTAAGGTGATCAGTCAAACCAACTGACTTGCCCCGCAAGGGTAAGTATGTTAGATATGACAATAGGGCCACTGGAACAAGACTTTAAGTGATCAGTCAAACTAACTGATCTGCCTCGCAAGGCTAGAATGTTAGATATGACAAAAGTCTTGCAAATTGACCGGCCAATGTCTCAATCTATCCATCACCAAGATTCTGTGGTTGAATTGTACCGACTTATAACTTTAATTTAGAATGTTATATGTGATGTAGTCTAAAGTAAAAGGGGAAAAATTGAGAGTAGCATGTAGGGCACAAATACCATTATCTGACATTATTGAAATCTGATTGTGTATACATATATGAAGCAAAGCAAAAGGAAAAGACAAAAGATAGTGAAAAGACAAAGTGAACAATCACATTTCTAATCCAGCAGAGTTAACAAGCTTGGTGAGTCCAAATGTGACAGCCATAGCCATCCAGCCTCCTATGAGCACCCTGGCACAAGATTTCACCACAGGAGTCTTCCCCAACACTGCTCCAATCACGCCAAAAACGACCAACGCTAGGCTTACTGCACAAATCACCACAACCAACCTCAACTTATGGTTTGCTATGAATGCAGCAGCCATCAAAGGAACCATGGCTCCAAACGAGAATGCAAGGGCTGATGCCAAAGCTGCTTGAATTGGATTTGGCAGATTTTCCTTCTCTTCCTTCTCTGAATCGTCGCTTTCCTCTACATTTTGTTGCACTCTTTTGTCTCTTTTCATTTGAGCCACTTCGATGTCTAGCTGAGAGTACACAGAGACAAACTCCCCGATTGCCATGCTACATGCCCCGGCAACTAGTCCTGCAAAACCTGCAAGAAACATTGCTCTTACGTCTTTTTTAACAGCCCCAATCCCCATCATCAATGACGCAATAGAAACCAATCCATCGTTGGCTCCCAGCACTGCAGCTCTGAGCCACTGCGCCCTTTGCGCATAATCAACCTCCTTTTCTTGAGGTTCTTGGCACTGGTTCTGGATGGCAGCATCCTTAGGAATTGGAATCTGAATTTGGGCATCCATGAAGTAAAATGAGTGAGTATAGTAAGAAAAAGCAAACAAATCAACACAACTATAGAGAAGAAGATAGATTGCTTGATGTGAGCATAGTCTTCCTAAGAGGGGGTATATATAGCATGGAGAAAATGGCAGGGTGTAAAAATCTACATAAACAGACACCTTATTGGAATTATGGCCATCTATGTAGAAAAGCATTTGGATATAGAAAAATATTCTTCCAGGATTCTAGTGCTGTAATAAAAAATTGGGGAGTGTGGAAACCACACAATAAAGTAAGACTGCTCAATAATTAATGGAGGGGAGTGTGGAATCCACATAGAGAGCACAATCTCCTCAGTATTTCAATAAAATAAATTCAGAAGAAGCTTTTGTTTTATGGTGGCATCCTTTGTGCCTTCACACAAGCAGCACAGGAGTCCAAACCAGCATATTCCCTTCCATTTCCACTAAAATAATATGCTGTGATGCATAAACTTACCAAGGCTTTCTGCCTTTCATATTGACTAATGACACTTTTGAACCCAGTACACAAGGTTAAAGCATTATGTATCTACATCTATCATGCACATAATAGTATACAATGAGGTAAAATGAGTAATCCCTACAGGTGGCAATGTATTATTTATTAAGCACAAATGTAATTAAGCCATATGAACTCAACAAGAAATTTACAAACCCTAGAAAGAACAAGGTCTGTCTCAGCTAGAAGAAAAAAGAAAATCAAATATTTATTCAGTTCTTTGAAGCATGTCAGTTAGTGTACGGTCCTCAGTTGCATCTACCTCCAAGTTGTCAAACAAAGCAAAACCCTTGCAAAGTGTTGCATGCAAATACTTGGCTTAACAACTCTTCAAGTATGAAACAGCAGTGAAACTCTGTCAAGTAATTACATAGCTTGAGAACAAACTCTGCCAAGCCAGAATCCCCCAATTTCATCAAATCCTCTGTTCAAAACAAAGTATGAAGTATCATATTTGCTGGATCATTAAAATTTGGAAGAAAACAATGAGCACAGCATATAAAGCATATAAAGCAAACCCTCTTCAATGGCTAAATGCAAGAAATTGAAAGAAAACACACACACACATACGAAATCCAGGACAGAACATTCAAAAACATTTACTTACATAAAGATACGCAAGTAGAGGCAATAAGAAGCAATCTTTCCTTTGGAACCATTAGGAAGCAAATCAAAGCAACTTGCACCTCACCATCTAAACAAAGGTCTCATTGCTGACCAATGATCTGTCCATGCATCTTGGTTAAGTGTGATTTTATGATGTGCCAGTCAATGTTTCCCTAAAGTTTTCATTTGCATGAATGAGAAAAAAAGATGCTATTCTCCTAATGAGCACATGATGCCTATGCGAAATCTATATAGATTGGCAGCTGCATGAACAAGCTGAAATGAAAATGTGCTTTGTTACTAATAGTTGATTTTAATAGTAATTTTTTTTGGGTAGCTGCAGAGGAATAGGACAAGGAAATAGTAGTCACATGAGACACATAAATACACATGAGCTCTTTAACAAGTCAAGTCTAGTCCTTGGTTTATTTGCTAATTACTGCACCAAGGAATATGGCAGCAAGATATTACTTAAACATCTGTTATGCAGAGTTTCCTCTAAAAAGTTAAATCTTGATGTAACTTAAAATGCCAATTTGCAAACAATTATATACGGAAAAGTTGTAATTAACTCGAATTATGAACTTATCCTCAATACCAAATGCTACATTGAAGAGTCAAGTAACAAAGTGCAAGCGTGCTAATATAGTACTATGAGATTAAATGGCAGCGCATTTCAAGCATACAACAATAGAAATTCTATTAGACATATAATGTTTTAAGGATAAATCAAGAATTTTTTTACCTAGCTAACTTAGAGATCCTTTGGGGAGGAAACATTTATACAAGCACAAGCCTGTACACTGGCACCAGAGGATATCATTGAAGCATTAGATGATGTCCTAGATTCTACAAAATGTTTCCTAGGTAATCCAGGATCAGATTCTGGAAGGTGCAAAGCATCATTATGAATATTGCTTTCATGATCTAACTCCAGTTTGGAACCAGTGCGCCTCTTGGAGTATTTTATTAAGTAGCGGCCCTCCTCCATATTGCAGTTCTCATTCTGCAAGTTAACCTTGCCTTCGGACTTCAACAGGCAAGGAATAGTTGCTTGGCACACTGCAGCTTTGGTCTGGAACTCTGGTATGGGACCTATGCGCCGCCTCTTGGAGTATTTCAATGAGTAGCGATCATCCTTCTCACGGCAGCTTTGGTTCTGCAAGGTGACCTTGCCATCACAGTTCACCAGGCAGGGAATGATCACTTCATACAAATGCAACTCATGAGTCGAAGCATCACCATGCATACTAGTTTCATGATCTAACCCTGGTTTGGAAACTACACACCTTCTGGAGTATTTTAACAAGTAACGGCCCTCCTTTGCATTGCATCTCTCAGTCTGCAAGGTAACATCACCATCACATTTGACTGGGAATGGAATCCTCAGTTCACACTGATGTGCCTCCTGAGTCAAATCATCGTGCTGACAAGACTGAGACTCAGAAACCACTCTACTGCCACCACCAAAATTGCACTTTTCAACAACACTAACAAAGAAATCATCCCTGTCATTTACATGGAGCTCTTTCCTCTTGAATCTAGTCCTCTTATACGTTTTTACTTTATGTTCAATCCTGCCCAAATCAAAATAACAAGTGTCTTTGTCCTTGGCATAAACTGAAGCCCCTGAAATGGCTATTAACTTGGCATCTGTCTGGCACAAATCAATAGAAGAGCCAATCTCATTGTCCCTAGCACAAACTGAAGCTTCTGACATGCTCGCACTAATTTTTTCTCTTAGTCTAGTTCTTCTATACACCACAATCTTCTCACCTTCACCATACTGAGGAGTCTTGCCTAACTCCACTGGTTTACTAATTAAACTCTTCCAATCCATAGCTTTCGGAACAGGGAAATTGTCTGTGTTTGTCAAGTGCAAATCTTTTGAAATCCGAGGAGAACTATTTATAGCACTATGCAATTGAAAAACCAATTTTGCATCATTGTCATTCTTTGAAGCACTAGCACCATTAGTACTACTACTGCTACTGCTACTTATACTATTACTAACAATCAACCCACCATTTATGTCACCATTCAATTCATTGTTAGCAGCTAGTTCCATTGCATTCTTTGTCATGTCCATCACACTTTTTGCTGCCACCACTTCTCTTAAACCCTTCTCTTTTTCTTTAGTGGAAACCAAATTCTTCTTCTTGGCCTCAGCATTCGCATCAGTTGTGAACTTTTGCAATGAATTGGCATCATTATCATTCAAAGAAACCTTAGAATGAGTCCCAGTAGGAGGCGGTTTTGACAGTGATTTATCAATACTCGTACAAACTTTAGAATTCTTAAGCAACTTAGGAACCCAACAATCTATACAAACTGAGAATTCCAATTGCGGTCCTCTCTCCTTACAGCTATAAGACCACGGGCTAGAATGATCATACCTCAGAACGCAGTCCTTGTGGATACACCTTTTGCAGCGGCCGCATGTGAAACAATCCAAGTTCACGGTCTCCTTAAAGCAGTAGGAGCATATTTGTGCGGAACTGACAAATTTGATACACTTCTTACAGAGGAGGACGATTCGCCAATAGCTGTCTAGGGTTTGGAGTCGATCCTTCGGGTTTGTGTGGTTGACCCGAGTCCGGCAGCCATGGCAGTCGGATAAATTGGGTAGGTCTCGAGTTATCCGCTTGGGTAATCGATCCAACGAGGACGATTCAAACGACGTTGAATTCAAAGGAGAGCCGTCGAGGAGGCGTTTTCTGGTGGAATGATGTGAAGGAAAGGGCGGAGGATACTGTGGGAGGCCGGAGGAGGGCTTGTTTCCTTGGTGATTCGTTGGTGCCATGGAAATCTACAGGCAAATTTCTAGGGTTTTTGGTAGAAATTCAACGCATTCCCAAAATCCCAATCGGTGTTCCGGTGCTTGGGTTTTGGGGATAATGGACAAACGCTGCTGCTGAAAGATCTTGGGCCAATTTTGCAATTTTGGCAAAGTGGCCCCTGAAGCAGAATTTATTGTTATTATTTTGGAAATCACGATAAAATAAACTTTCCAATTATTACAGAAATTTACTAATACAATAGAGAAAGTTGAATCATGGGCTATTCTAAAGAGGATCTAGTTTGTTTGGCCAAAAAGTTATAGACAAGTAATGGTGGAGTGCGACTCGGCAACGATGATTTAGTGGCATATGGAAAGCATGTATATTATTGAGATACTAAATTTCAATTTTGGTATTGTGACTTGTGACTGTTGGGGTTTTATTAATTGTTAATTTAGTATTTTAACTATTCAATTTTTATTACTCCGGTCAAATTGTCGTCAAATTTCATCAAAAAATATTAATAGACAAAATAATTAAGGTATTTTAATTATTTTACTTCTCTTTTCTTTCAATTCTTCTCTGACGAGCTACCATGTTTTCGGTCAAATTTTTCTTTTCTTTTTTCTCAATTCAGGAACTGCATGTTCGTCAGTTTCATCAACGGTATGCTCAAAACCGCCACAATGTGCGCCTTCACTGTTGCTAAACAGCATACGGAAGCTTTGTTTAAATATCTGACCAATCTCATCTTCCTCGCCACTATTTTCCTCTTGGATTTCAAGCGTCGCAACATGGTTGAATACTCGTCGCGAATTCGAGTAGATGAATAGTGTTGTACCATGCATAAATATATGACACAACATTATGTGGGTGTTTGGCAAATGGATAATAGCTGATAGATGATAGCTAATTGGGTTAGCTAGTAGTTGATGACTGATTGTGTTAGCTGTTTCGCCAATTGGTTGTATTAGCTGGTAAAATTGTTTGGTAAATTAGTTGTTTACTAGTAGTTAATTGAATGTAAAACGACATTTAAGTGTATGAGTGAGTATATTGGCCCTGTTTGGTAAAAAATTGGCCTATATGTCAATTTTGACTTATTTGACCACTATTAATTGTTTGATTTACTTAAAATATCAATATAAATGTTTGGTTAATTAGCTTTTTGCAACTCCAAAATGCTAAAATTCAAAAAGCTACTCCAAACAACTTTTTCAATTAGCTTTTTCAGAAAAGAAATTATACCAAACAGCTATCAGCTTACAGCTAATTTACCAAACACTTTTCTACAACAGCTAATGTTATCAACTAGTTATACTCTCTAATTAACACAATCAGCTAACAGCTAACCGCTATCAGCTAACAGTCATTTACCAAGAAGTTAAACTCTTATTAATAAACTAGTATAAACTAGTTCTCTGTTTAACTCCAGGGGTTCAGGTTGGGATAGATGAAGAAGTAGTTAGAGACATTTTCAATCCAAGAGATGCCTAGCTTATACTCAGTATCTCTATCCCGCAGTGTAATAGATGATAAGGGATCCTTCACGGTTAAAAGCTGTTACAAATCCATCTCGTAGGATTTTACCAATACTCCTACTACAAGATGGTCTGCTGTGTGGAAGATTCATATCCCTCCCAGAGCAAAGGCCTTCATATGGCAAGCATGTTCAGGCTGCCTCCCGACTATGGACAAGCTGCGCCAGCGAATAATTGATTGCGATCCTATGTGTCCTTTGTGCCTGAAAACGATCGAGGAATCAATTTTTCATCTACTCGCAGAATGCAGATTCGCGTCCCAGTGCTGGAGCATCTTTCATCCCTGTTTGCCCGACAAGAATCAGTTCCAAAACTGTTTGGATTGGATTGCTCAAGTCTGCTGCACATTGGAGAAGTCACAGGTGTGTCTGTTCGTCATTATCTGCTGGAATATAGCTGTTGAAGCTCAGGCATAATGGGTTTTGGATGGGTTGTCCGAGATCACCATGGCTCCTTCTTATCTGCAGTCAGCCAGCCGTGGGCTGGAATTTACTCTCCCAGGGAAGCTGAAGCCTTAGCAATCAGAGAAGCTCTAAGCTGGTCCAATTAGCACAGCATTGAGTACCTTCATGTTGAGACGAATTCCTTATTGGTTGTTCTGGGTCTATCATCTCCTGATTTCGTCACCTCATTCGATCTTCTATTAGCTGATGTAAAAGATTCATTGAGCGCTTTTTCTCATTGTTGTATCTCTTTTGCGAAACGTTCTGCGAACCAGACAATCCATTTCCTAGTGCCGGAGTCCGTTTCTATGTCTGAACGTAAGGAGTGGGCTTCCGTTCCTCCTTCTTTCATTTGTAATGCTCTTTAGTTTGATTTAATATAAACTTCTCAAACTTGCAAAAAAAAAGTGCAAATCAATTTTTTTTAGCATGTTCTTGACTTCTTGTAATCTATTGATAAGCTACTAAAGTTGTTAACTTAGCATCCATGTAAAATTAATAACAAATAATTCACAACATAAGATATATAAATAAAGAAAAAAATGAAACAAAAAAAGCCAGTACCGCCACGCTGGGGTTCAAATTTATGACATCTCATTTGGGAGAGTCACTTAATACTACCCGATTACAAGGTCATTAGCACATAACTAACATTTAAATAACTATAAATTTTAGTATTTTAGTTATAAAAATCTGTTGGCAAGTTAAATACTTATTGTAGATTTTAGTAATTTGCTTACCAACTTTTCAGTAGGTAAATTTATTTTTTTTCCTAGTGAATTATAGGAATTTGACATTCTTGATAGTGAAATATGGCGAATTGAAGGACCAGAATCTTCAATCTTGTATGTGTTCTCATTTTAATAACCTTAAATTATTCGCAGGAGCGTGTGTCCGCCACATGCTTCCGTAGACCCTTTCCAGACCGGACAATAATCATACTAACCACTTTGGTAACCCCAACCCACCCAGCTTACTCACCAATCATTAAATTAATCAAATTATTATATTACTAAACTAGTATTTTACCCGTGCGATGCACGGATTGAATATTAGGCAATATTATTTATTTTAAAATACATCACTTAACATAAACATATATGTAATTCATATATTACAAAATAATTTAAATATAGTTAATATTAATTTTACAAAAAGACTAAACATTAATATTAAATTTTACAGGTTGTTAAAAAACCTCCTCATATACAACGTTGAAGAATAGTACTCAGCATTATAATCTAAAATAACAACTTTAATTATGGTTGATACTTCTACATACAATTAGCCATATACAGTTGTATATACAAAAATAAATTAACTCGAGTGCCCAAATTATTTCCTGACATAATCTTTACTTTTAATAGATGAGTTCACAAGTGTTTCAGATATAGTGATATGAATAACATTGCCTACATCCAAAAACAATATATAAATAGAAAACAATAAAATGTATATACACAACTTATGAAACATTTACAATCTGTAACACAGTAAACGATGTAGAAATCGATTTGTTAAATATTCCAAAAAATTACAATTTCATGCATTCACCATACCAGCTTAAATTCCTTTCGTAAAGACGTGATTATCAGACAATACGATTGCATTTTCTACAAACATCAAAATCAATAATTTAATTTATTTAGAATAGTAAAATGAATAATAATGAATTGAATTTATAAACTATTGAATTATTCACAAAATTCATGAATTTTGTAAATTCTTGTTCAATATATTATAATAATAATACTTCCGTAGGAATAAAAAATACGGAGTAATAATTAACATTAAACAATGAGTAAATACCCAAAATGGTCCCTCGACTATAGCTAAATTCACAAATTGGTCCTCAACTTTCAATTTCACCCAATTAAGTCCTTAACTTTGTAATTTTAACACAATTTGGTCCTCTGTCTATTTGACCGTTTGTTGACTGTGATTTTTGAGGATATATATGTAATTTCATGGTCCATCGTCGATTTTTTAAGGTTCCGATTGCATTTTCAGACCGCACCGTTACATTTGAATCCACTGTCGAAAACAATCTACCAAACCCGGTCACCTTCTTCATCCTCCCTTTGGATTCAATGTAGTTGAATTCGTACCAGAGTGAAGAAGACGACGTGTTTCCGAACCGGTGCAACGTCAACCTGGAGGCCTCCACGTGCTCCGACGAGAGCTGAAGGTTCTTCTGGAGATCGTCGATCATGCTCAACAAACGGTCAATTATATGGAGGACCAAATCGTGTCAAAATTGCAAAGTTAAGGACTTAATTGGGTGAAATTGAAAGTTGAGGACTAATTTGTGAATTTAGCTATAGTCGAGGGACCATTTTGAGTATTTACTCTTAAACAATGAATGAATAATCTTGATAATAAAGATGATAAAAATATTTTTTTAAAAAAAAATTGATAACAATTTTCATTAGGCCCAAACCCAGCTTCATCCCCATTATTAATATTTATTACTTTATTAATATTAATGTTAATATTAAAAATTAAGAATATAGATAATATAAATAATAGATAATAATATTAAACTCCCATTTCTGCGCTTCAACCCACGATTCCTACTTCATTTCTGCGCTTCGTCTTCTTCGCCATCTTCGTCTTCTTCGCCAAACCCACGAAATTTTCCATCAACAAACATGGAGATGAAGCCTATGAAAACCAAAACACCACTGCACTCCGTAATCCCCCGGTTCAACCCAGTCTTCTACCCCAATACTGCCCTTCGTCTTCGTCGTCTTCCTCCCCAAACCGACGAATCAGTGAAAAAGAAAACTCAACATCCATGACTATAAACAGGCTGTCTACATCATATGGTAAGTTCCAATCTCTTTACTTAATTAATTAAATAAAAGCTCCAAGTTTAATTAAATAAAAACCTAACTATTTATCTACAGATCTATGTACATCTGAGAGTGTGAAAGAAGGAAATTAAGAGCTTAAAACCACTCCAAAGAATTGACGGTGTACATGTAGAGCAATCATGAAATCAGAAAGCTCCTCTCCAAAAACTCAGACAAAATTGATAAGGTAAATATATTCTGACCTAAAAATTTTATTAATTCTCCTAAAATTTATCTTTCATGTCTGAAAATTTGTATAAAAATATATTCGTAGCTAAAAATAACTTATGTATGTATTTGGCTGTGTAATTGTTTTTTTTTTAAAGAGTAGGTAACTATGTAAAATACAAAATTTAGAATTCCTATTTGAATAAAAGCTAAATAAAATTATAGATAATCACACCACAACTGACTGGATATAGAAGATTATAAGCAAAACTAAGAAATATTTATCTCCTATCACTAAATGATAAAAGAAAAAAAAGAATTCAAGCATATTATTTTCCTCTAAAGTCAGTATTACTCAAAAGTTGAGTTGAATATGATAAATTGCACTTATATTCTCCTTGTTGGATCTCAAGGGTTAACATAGTCAGATCTAATATGTTCCTTAGCATTCTAAACAGATGAAAGCTATCTATAAGAAAAACTCAAAACAGTATTATGTTAGCCCTGCTAAATTATGGATAACATCAGTTTTTTATGGATAACATCAGTTTTTTTCCTGAGGATATGATCTAGCGGGCATTTTGTTATCGCCCAGACACAAAAATGACTTCTACATGTTGAAACAGTTTAGATACTTGTGGTATTATTGTTCTGTGCAGTTCTCTAAATTAATGGCATCATACACTATAAGCATTTGTGTGTAATTATTTCAAATTTTAGAACTGCTTTAATAACTTTCACAGTGTACATAGCTTAGCTTAATACAATATATATCTATTTTTGCAGGTACTAAAGCTTACCATAAAATGAAATCAAACAATGCCTAGGATATTCACATCTGTCAAAGGTATGTTATACTTAGTTGTTAAATACCTGAATCTGAAAAGAAGTTAAACAGCATGCAGTAATTTTTTTTTTTGAGTTTTTGAACTTGAAGTTGTTGTATTTAATTACTTCTGTTTAGCTTGTCTTTATTATCTTTTTTTAATGTTTAATCTTGTATCTGTGTTGCAAAAACAATACTAACTAAACTATTTCTGCAAATGATGATCTTACAGTCTAATTACACAGTTTTGTTGCTTACAATTATGATTTTTTGCTTATACAGATAATAAGTAAATAAATAACCAACAAATAAGTATTACTTACAATAAGAGAGTATTAAATTCTGAAAATAACTTTTTCAATACATATGATCAATACATCACAATCCCATACTAACACTGTACTGTGGAGAAAAACTACAACCTCATAACAAAGCCAGCATTATATGTAATCAAAAAGTTAAAAATCATGGTGCAAAAGTGATGCACCATGATCACAATTATCTTCCACTACAACTACCTGGCTAGTAATAACAAATGTTTGAATCCCTTTTCAGTTTTCAACGTGACTCAAAAAAAGAGGATCATACAAATGTATTGATAGCAATTGGACTTGCTGCATTATGTTTGCCTTTTCCATGATTCTTCTCCTTTGTTTATTTCCACTCTTTCTAGTTTCTGTATTCCTAAAAACATAGAGAAAATATTACGGAAAAATATATATATAAAAACATACCTCTTGATCTTCTACTTCTTTACATTGGCTTCACTCCCTCTTCTTTTCAGGATTTATATACGCAGAATGCACTGCTGACCCATATTGTTGTTCTTGTATTCATTGAAGAGATGTCACCGCGAGAACATTAAAATTGTAGTGTGTATTTTGCAGGTTTTTCTGTGTTTTTTTAGAAGCAATCTGATGTTGAAGTGTTTGTCTCCGATACAAAGAGATGTATTTATAATTAGGTTTAGGAAGTGCTTGTATACCAATCGTCAATATGTAGATTTACGATTACCTTGTTAAACCAATCGTTAATATTGGGAAGGCCAAGCAGCTAATTAAACATCACCATATTTAATATTTAAAAGATAGATTTAATAGCCGATCATTAATTATTTCGGCCATGTAGACATTCCTAGAACTTCGGGATTCTACTTCAAAACTGGACGGCAGAATTAATATTTTAAGAACCCAATGATATAAAAAATCTGATCTACGCATTTGATATCTATGATCTAAACACACCATTAGTTTAGGCGGGAATTTGTTTGCCTTTAGCATTTACTCTTTCTTATTGCTATTTTATAATAGAGATATGTATTAACAGTATTAAACAAACAAGCGCCCGCTACTTGTTCATCACTACTGTCATATATACTGTGTTCCCATCATTCCTTAGTTTTGCAGACTATAATTACTGTTTCTAGCTTAAACGGTTATATAAAATTGATTTTCTTGTCCACAAAAGACAAAATTCCTCACCCAAAGGTTTAACACCATATTTGACAGGATTCTGAGGTACTCGACACATAAAATAAGACGGATAAGTAGTAAATAACAATATAATGACAAATTAAAACGTCTCATTAAGTAGGAGGATCAGTGTCTCACAAGGAACCACGCGTACAAGAGGGTGAAACTTCTACCCTGCGGTTGTTAGGTCTTAGTTATGCGTCTTTATCCGTAATTTGTTACCTATGAACCAGTTGAGCTATTCGTGCAGGTAAAAAAAATACTGAATTTTCTAATCCATAAGAGAGCGCTTTGCCACCCTTTGAGGTCATACCTAGCTCAAATATGATTAGTTTCAATGTGTATGCCCTATTGCACCCTAATTGAGGAAACCTATGGTACGGTCTAACCAACAAAAAAAAAAAATTCCGACCACTTAAAATTGGATAAAATAAAATAAAAAATCACTTTGGTTTGCGGGTGGGTGGTCGAGGGGTGAAGTATATAATTCTCATATATATCAGAATGTCACGAAGTTCAATTCTTACCAATACCTTCTTGGTTGAGCCTATTGCACATGATCTTTCTAATACGAATTACCTCTCACGTGAGATTCAATCACTAATACATATAAACAAGTTTTACTCAGTACACACATATAAATATTTTATCGGAATTAAGCGTAGTAATTAAAGTAGACGATGCAAAGCAATAAAGTACCTGACCCCAACAATATGCCTTATGCTTGATTGAGTTGGGTGGGAATAACGCGGACGGAGAATCAATTTTTCTGTTGTTACGTTATCGTATTCTGGGACTACACGGTTCATATGCGTTATCGATTCGAGTCATAAAGTTTTAATTACTTACTCGATTCAACTTTATAGTTGTATTAATATTAATTAACCCCCATTTAAGCTGGTATATACGGTGTGAAATGCAATTTAAAATTGTCCTTTTTGAGTAGTGGAATCATCCCTTTTCGATCTCTTTATCAATTTTTGCTTGTTTTTTTTCTCGTGCAAGCTACGGCATGTCATGTGTTTTTCGCAAAACATCATATTATATTGTTTCTATACCAATCAAAAGATCACGAGTTTGATTCATAACAAGAACCCATCATCACACATTATTTTTTCAGTATAATTTACCTCATTTATGTGATTTAATTTGCTGAATTATTATATAAGAGTGAGAGTTATATAAACGCACTCATCACACTCACACCGAAACACATATAATTACATACCATATGTCTTATGTGGGTACATACATTCATACATATATACAACTTCGTGTGAAGATTGTTTATTAACTTTCTTAATTTGAGTCGATTATCCTTTATCGATCAAGATAATAAGGCAAATTTCACCTAAACCTACTGCGACTCTAAGTAGTAGTTGTCGATTTTTCAATAAATCAAAACATATAAAGAACTCCATCCATAAATAACCAAACTTACATTTCATTCATAGTTAGTGCATATCTCTTACTTGCAGGACAAATATGCAACCAAGATCAGAAGACTACACGACAGTACAAAAGCCACACCAAAGACATGAACTGAAGCATACACGGAAATTAAAGCTAAGGTACTCTCTGGTGGTCGGAAAATTGCTGATTTCCAGCCGTGGATATAAGATATGATTTAGTTTCTAGCTAATAATTATATAAAATAGGTAAGACCAAATTAAAGTAATTAATATCTTATCTTATAACTTATAACTTATAGTTCTAAAATTGCGAACCAACTAGTTTAGACAGTCCAAAAGTGATTCCCATGGCCACTAACCCTCCAATCAAAACCCTTAAAGAAGATTTGACAAGAGGTGCCTTCCCAAGATAAGCACCCAACCCACCAAAAACTATCAACGCCACACCGGACGCCGCCACCACCGCCGCCAGCCTCACTTTATAGTTCTGTATGAACGCCGCCGCCACCAGAGGCACCGCCGCTCCCACCGCAAAAGCCAAGGCCGACGCCACTGCCGCCTTCATCGGACTAGGCAGCTGGCTCTTCTTCTCCTCCTCCTCGCTTTTCCGGCGGCCATCACCGCCGCCACCGCGTTCCCTCTTCATCTGCGCCACCTCTATGTCGTACTGAGCGTACACCGACACGTACTCTCCGAGCGCCATGCTGCACGCGCCGGCCACCAGCCCGGCGATTCCGGTGAGCATCATGATCTTGACGTCCGATCCGAACGCCCCGACGCCCATCATGAGCGACGCGACGGAGAGCAGCCCATCGTTCGCCCCCAGCACGGCGGCTCTCAGCCACTGTGCCCTCTTGGAGTAATCGACGACGGCCACCTCAACGACCTCAAGCTGTTGTCTTTCGACATCAACGACTTCTGCTAACTCTAATTGCTTATTAATCTCATTAAGGTTGTTTTGTTTCTTGGCCATTTCCATGATCCAAATTAAACCACCCAAAATCTATATATTAAATTAAAAGTATAGGCAATCAAGATTTGGTTTTTCTTCTTGTGGGATGAAAATTATAGTTTTTGCTGGAAAGGGTTTGCAGGAAATGAAGGAATATATAGTTGAGGGTTTGGGAAGGATGAAAGAAAGAAAATGGATATGGAGAAGTGTGGAGGGCACACGCCTCAGGATGATGCCATTTATAGAAGTTGGAAGATGAGGCATGAGGATCGGATCAAGATGTTGACACCCAATTTATTTATTAAAGATTTATTTTTTTAAAAAAAGATTTATTTATTTATTTATTTAGTACAGATTCCTTTCTTGATTATCCCTAGCTAACTATACACTGCGGTTTCTGTGGTGGAGTAATTGATTGGGGGTTGTTGGGAGGGGGGGGGGGGGGGGGGAGGGATCTTTTGCGTTCACACATGATCACCTGTTATTGAAGAATTATGGGGTTACTATGTTTTTTTTTTTTAATGGATTCACCTCATCAATTTCGAAGTTTTGAAGCGGAGATAAATTAGCATGAAAATGGAATATTTTAAGGCATTATTTTGAGTGGGTTAGTTGGGTTTATTATCAATTTGAATCAAGTCAAATTGAATTTGTCTTCCTTAGTTGAAAAGATAAATTTTGTATGTTTATATACTTAAAAATTAAAATTTATAATGAGTAAAGAGAAATTTAAACTTATATCCATAAAAGTTGGGAAACTAGAACTTGGGAAGGGTTATAAGACCCTCTATGAAATTATGTGTAATGGGTTATTATTTTATTTGATTCATTGGAAAAGTTTACAGTTGTTATCGAAAAGTAGTGAAAATTGCATTATGACCCTAGTCAGCAATGAAAATAAGAAGGTAAATCAGTCTAGGTTGTCTATATATAGTTGATAGTCTCAAACTAAGAAGATTGATACGCAGCTCTCAAAGGAAGTTAAATTTGGAACCTTATAGTTATCAAGTCAATTGTATGACCAACTCAACTAGGGATTAGTTGCCTCAAATCATGGATTATTTTTTATACATTACCATAAATGGGTTTTCAAGAAAATATTTTTTAATAAATTTCCTACATACATGCCCGGCCTAAAGTGTTTGTATATTGTTGCACCCTAGCTACCGTTGAGAGTTTAACATCTTACTGCCGATATACACAGTTATATATGCGCAACAATAACTTTTATGTAGTGGTACACGTTTGATAGCATGCAATTAATAACTAATGAAAGATTATTGAACACCTAACATCTTGTTACTTGTCCCGTATAACCAATTCTATATGAATTCAAAATGTGATGCTGGTTACACTTTTATTACTCGTTATAACTTTTAACTTTCAGCTTAATGGTAAACACTTTCACTAAAGAATTTCTTGTAAAAGGAATACTACAAAATTTCCAAAAAGAGCTCCGTTTCAAATGTGAAGGGCATCCGTTATGTATCCGCATATTAATGCCCATTTTACGCCGTATTTTTGTATCAGCAAACCGGTAAAGCAATTTCTTTTTGAAAGAAACCATTATTTTTTTCGGTGGGTCGGTTAGCTTTGTTTCCTTTTAAAAGAAAGATCAGGAAAAAAAAAAACAAGATTAAGAATAACGAATGGAATGTAAAGAATATGTGATAAATTGCGGTGGGTTGTTTTTAGGCAATCTATAATTTTATATCATGGACCAGGTCCACGTAACATTATAGATCTTGAATCAAAATGATAAAAGTACAGAATTTATATTTGTAATGTACAAAATTTAATAACACAAAAACACAACAAATCACATCACAAGACACATACGAATGCACCAGGATACACGATACAAAAACTCACAACATAGGACACATACATATGCACCAGGATCCACAGTGCACTATGATTTTGTGAACCTTGATTCATGGTATAAGGATTGTTATTTTTAACCGTATGTAATCTTATCAAATCAAATGTATATACTAAAATTAGATCTTTAAAGCTACCAGGACTATATGGTCTAATGGTACCCGAGTTGGACTTTCATTTGGAAGGTTATGGTACCCGGGTTAGACTTCCATTTGGAAGGTTGTGAGTTCGAGCCTCAGTGGAGGCGTTATTAGGTCTTTGTGTTTCAGTAGGTTGAGAAAGTATATGAACAGATACTACATTGTAATAGAGCTAATAGCATTCAAAAAAAAAAAAGATCTTTAAAGCTCATTATAACTGATTGAAAGCATCTCATTATCATGGGTTAAGATTGTTTGATCGAATCAGACGAATAATAAAATTGGGTTGTTAAGTGTAAATAAAATAGATTAACGAATATAAATATTAAATAAATTGAATGGTATGGGATTTGGACCTCTCGAAATATCTAACGGTTTTAAAGTAAGAAAAGAATTTTTGAGGTTAGTTGTTAAATAGATGCGTAACGTGATTTATTTCTTGGTTATTTTAATGTCTAATTCGCGACACTTAATAAATAAAAATAAAATAAAAAATTATCGTGGGTTGAACATTAAGAGGTAAAATCACTATCTAGCAAGCAAACTAATGGAAAGGAGAATATGTATCAAACAAACATCTTTGATAATCACATAATCATTTAAACCAAAGAGTAACAGATTTTATCAAACAAGTATGATCTCTTATTAATCAAATTCAAGATCATTGCAGTTCAAAAATTTCGATGCAGCTACAACGTTGCGCTGAGGAATCGGTAGCTTCTAGCAAAGACATGCACAAAGAACACGTAATAAAGGCTATGTTGAGAAATGAAGTAGCGAGATGCAATGCAGGCCCGTTACTTGAGTTTTGTAAATAGCTTCGGAGCAACCTGCAGCATAATAAACGCATTTCATAAGCACACCCGCCCACAAAGCATGGCATGCATATTACACAGAGAAGCTAGGGCGAGAATGGAGAGGGCAAAGAGATGATACTTACACATTTGTCAATGCAGTGCCAATAGTCGAAATATTGGCCAGTGCAATGCTTGTGCCCACTTTCATCGCCATCAACTCTTTTAGCACATGCCTGTAGGGTAATAGGAGCCATCTCGGTTAGCTATTACTGGTAAAATGTTTAAGGAAAGACAAACGATAGGCATAACTGCTGGTTAGTTATTAGCTAGATAAAATAACCAAGACAAGCCAGCAAACTGATAAGGTTCGGTTAATCTCAGAAGTCGAGATCAATTCTAATACAATTGATAGGTGACTAAAGCAAGAACGAATCTAGACCTTCAACACTCAATAACAGCAATAAAACTCCCCTTGATCGGAGAACTACAGCTTTAAACTCTCACTTCTTTTTTTGGGTATACCCAGGGTTTCCACCGTCGAACACAGTGACTAATCCCCTCGCTAAATTGTAGGCACCTCTTTTGGGTGGGACAGCCGGCCTGGAGATTTAAGGCTGCTCCATTCCCAAAGCCAAGGATCGAACCCTTGACCTTTGGTTAAGGATGGATGAGTCCCTTCCACTCAACCACACCCTCCAGGTTTATCACATATATGCTCATTACAGTACCATATCATTTTATCACATAACATCAAATATATATGTTCTTGAAATTATTATACATTCAATTGCAGCACAATAATTCACCAATTTAGCGGGGCAGATAACAGGAAAAAAAAAAAAAAGGGCACTCGAGTTGATAAATGAATCACTACTCAGATTTACAAAATTATTCAGGTCGAGTCTGACCAAGCTCAACGTAGTAGGTAAACTATGCATTAAACCATTTAGAAATTGCCAGGAGTCCATTTTAACAGCCAACATGTAGAGTATGCAGTAAGAAGCAATCGTCTAATCCACAAAATTAAATTTAATGAAGGCTTAAGGCACAAGATAGTAAAAAGCACTAGTATACATCTCGAGTAAACTATGAATAGTATCTGAATGTTTTTAGCTATTTTTCACGGTGGTAGAGATCACCTGATACTCTTTAAGTTGCCTCACACATTTTGGCTTACAAGAATCTTCATATAACTTCTTCTGATCTACAACTTCCTCGTCCGACCTATGCAGAGAAAACAAATTAGGCCACAGTGGCACACATGAACATATGAATGAGAGTTCAACCTTATAGCAACCGAGTCCTATTATATGTACACAAACAAATATTTATGTATACCGACATACATCCTTTGAAAGTTCTTCGAGGTCCAAATCAACTTCATAGTAAAAGTGTAAAACACAATTTACGTTTCCTTAATAATGTATGCCCCAGACTAAGGAACCAAACAGAAACTATACTAAACCATTCCACAAAAAAGGAAGCAGCTTTCATGCTTTTGGACTGCTAAGTAGAGGTAGGCACAAAAGGTTGTATCCTATGGATCACATCAGCAGTACCATGAGCAGAACATCCATACAACATATTAAAGTATATATCTAAGATCCAGCCAAGAGTACACCTTCGATTTTCAGGAGCACCCTATAAGCCTTTTTGGTTTGAGTTAGTCAGATATGTACAACTTATGCTGGTTTACTGGTCATTTGCCGGCCCGGCTAGGGTAACAAGGTGGTTTACACACCATACGCCAATGACTGCGGTTTTCTCTCGTCACTCAAAAAAAAATCTAAGATGAAATTCCATCCAATGATCAAGAAATTTAAAGTAATTGATTGGCAAACAAATTTCAATCTGAATGAATCATTAATCTAGATTATTGACACAAGATAAAACTAAGCCTTGTGATCAAAAAACATTCTTAGGCATGCAATTCACATAATTTTACCATAAACCAAAAAAAAACAAAAACGAAAACAAAAAACTCACATGTCGAATGGAGATAAACAAAAGTAAGAGGTTGATGGCCTGCAAAACACAGTAAATTCACATGAAATTAGCAAAGAAACTTGCTTTACAAATCTAATCTGCACGCAGTTATAAACAAAAGATTATATTCTTATGTATGAGATGGAACCGTATAAAAGTAGATCGGAGCAGAAGATTGTTGAATACGGATCTGATGATGAGAACGAAGCGAGGAATGGAGCTTACCTAACTCTGTGAGGAAGAAGAGAGTGAAAGAATGAAAGATAGCTTCCTCCCAAAACGGGTTGACCCGCTTATTTCTCGAACTCCTCTGACCTGTGACAGGCTCAAATTTTGCGCCCAATCAGATTACATTTGGGCCGATAAATTTAGGCCCAAAATATTAGTGATCTTCCTCACATTTTTAATATACTAAAGATACATTATTTATGTACGTAAAGTACATTTTTAAAAAATATATTATTTGAGTATTGAAAGTACATTATTTTATATATATTATATTAAATAATATACATCCGGTACACAAATAATATACTTTTAATATATTAAAAATGTACATAATATTTATAATCATACAATAATTTGACTTTTTTTTTTGAATGATTTTCATGTGATTTTGAAAAACCGTTTTACAGATTCTTATATGGGTCGTGTTATGATTAAAATGTAATAGGTATGTTGGGGAAAGTGCAATATTAATCATAAATATATTGTTTGTTACTGAATAAGAGTGCAATATTTGTGAAAAAAATAAAATATTTTTAAATTAAGATGTAATATTTACAAGGGTTTGGTATGAGATCAAAAAACAAGGCTTTGAGACTTGCAAACGAGCACTTAATTGGCACAGAAGCTCAAACGTGCAAAGTGAGCAACCTTCATTAATCTTATAATGTGTCTAATAGGTAAGTGGCTTGGTTTCTGGTAATCAAACTTTTTCTCTCTTTCTTCTTTAATCTTGAATTCCCAATTCCAAGAATCCCATATACCCCGTTAAAATGTTCCCTTAGCTTCCCCTTCTTTCCTTTGCTTTTCATGTCGGTCCAATCAATAATTACGAACTCGTTATAGCTTCTTGAGACGAGCTTGTTGCTTATAAACTGTTTTGTTGTATGTAATTATATCCCTATCTCGCTTATTAATTCTTCTTAATTATTTTGGTGTTAATTTGCATTATTTCCGTCAATAGGTTATATAACGTACAAATTATTTGGTTTCCATATATATATATCATAAGAGCAAAAGAAATATTTCCATATATCATAAATTTTCATTGATACTTTATACTAGTTACTAGTTTTAATTATCTAACTATACAACAGTAATTATAAGCCCGACACGTGTAACGTTCAGGGGCTACACGTGCAGGAGAATACAGCGGGAGAAAGGCTGAACTCTGAAGGCGCGCCTTAATATACATACGCAAAATACGTACATTTGTACGTACGCATACGATGCGGCTACGTATCTGGATTCGCTTATAATCTCAAGAACATCACCCGATAGACTTGCTCCCAAACCCCTCTTTCCCTCTCTCTCTCTCTCTCTTTCTCCCTCGATCTCTTTCTCTCTTTCTCTCTCCGTCTACGTTCCGTCATTCCGAGACGCTGACGCTTTTATTGCGTCCTTTTTCCTCGGAATCTTTCGGGACCGGAGGAGAAAGAGACGCCGGATTTTCAAGAACGGCCGTCGGGATTTCTTGTTTGGTTTAGATTCTGAGCTTTTGGATTTCTGGGAAGGTTTCGGCTGCGATGGGGGATATGTGGAACGTGCTGCATGAGTTCAAACCGGCCATTATTATGGTCTCGGTGCAGACCATTTTCGCCGGCGTTAATGTGCTGTATAAGATAGCGGCTTCCGATGGGATGAACCTAAGTATTTTGGTGTTTTACCGGTTCCTTTTCGCCGCTGGGTTCATCGGCCCCGTCTCCTACTTTGTCGAAAGGTATCATCTTTATTCATTTCTCGCCCACAAAACCCAAATTTCTATGACAGGATATGACAGGATAGTGGATGGGAGGAGGAGTTTACCATATTTGGTGTAACTCGATATGTGACGGGCTCGATCTTGTGTACTTGCCCACTAAAAATCCAGTCCGGTTTACATCAGAAATGAATGGATTTGTCTGTTTAGGCTTTAAGATTGCATGCATGCATTATGCATGTATGGATTTTGTTGTGGTTCTGGTCTTCTGGGCATCGATTCAATCATGGAAGTTTGTATTATTTCTCCTAATCTGTGTTTAATTTTGTGGATTATTGTGATTTCAGAAATAAGAGGCCCAAGCTAACGTGGACTGTTCTGTTTCTGGCATTTCTGTGTGGACTGTTTGGGTGAGCTCTTCTTTCATTTAATCCCTCTTTTCTCTCATCTTTGGTTGCCAGGTAACTGTACGTTTTTGCTTTTCATTCACGGGTTTTGTTGTTGTAGTTCTTCTTCTTCTTTGCTGTGAACCAATTAAAGAGAAACACCCATCTGCTTTTCATATGGTTCTTGTGATACCTTTCCTCTATTTACATTGCTCTAATTTCAGTAATGGAGTGATTAAATTAGGTGTGGATTGTAGCAACCTCAGCTAAGTCGTCGGTCAGTCAGGCTGACCGACTGTTTACTTGGTAACCACAAGATTACAAAGTTCAAGTTCAGCTCCCAATAGCTAGCCTATTAACTTTCTTGGTTTGAGTCGGTCAGGACAACTTAGACTGGTTTATCTTCTTATGGTCATTTGCCAGTTATGGTCATAGGACAATCTAAGCTGGTTTATCTCCTTGTGGTCCTTTGTCAGTTACGGTCATAGGGCGGGATTTATCCAGTGATCCTTTGTCGGCTAGGGTCATAGGGCGGGATTTACCCCGTGACCCTTTGTCGGCTAGGGTCATAGGGCGGGTTTACCCACGGGTAGTGAATGCAGTTTTCCTCATCACTCAAAAAAAATAAAAATAGGTGTGGTCTACTGAACTATGAGTATGAATAATTTGAGTGGTAATTAACTCAGTGTTTGTAGACATGATGAATTGATTTTGTATAGTGTAATGATTATAACTGATGATGATCTGATCAAAGTGTTACCATTCTGTATTCAATTCTTTGATACCTGCAGAGGATCACTGGGGCAGAATTTGTATTTGAAGAGCTTGTCATATACTTCTGCAACCTATGCCACTGCCATATTTAATCTCATCCCCGGCATTACCTTCATTGTTGCGGTTATTCTTGGGTATATATACATATCTTCCTATTCTAAACGCAACCTTTTGCATAAAGTATTGGCTCGAGAGCTAATCGAGCTTGATGGTGTTGATTAGCCCGTTCTTGATGAGGATATATAATTGTGTATTATCGTTGGTCTAGGTTGGAGAAGTTGGGTTTGAATACAGCGGCAGGCAAAGGAAAGGCGTTGGGGACAATGTTTGGCATTGGCGGGGCGATGCTCCTCACCTTTTACCAAGGACCCGAACTTCATTTATGGAATACTAATATTCACCTACTGCATAAAACACCACCGAGCAAGGTCGTAAAAAGCAATTATTTATTGGGCACCATTATCGCCTTGGCAGGATGTCTGTGCTATTCCTGCTGGTTGATTCTTCAGGTAAATTAAATCATATATAAACCCAACATTCATGCTTGTAAATCAGTATCGTTAGATTATAGCAATTGTATATATGTTGCATTATAGTATTTATGGTTCTTGATTGCTTAATTGCTTTTTGGTTGGACCACGAGGTATCCTGAGCAGATCTATATACTGTATTATTGGAACAGGCTAAGGCAGCTGAGCGATTTCCATGTGCATACTCATTTACCGCTCTAATGATGATGATGGGAACATTTCAATCTTTCGTGTATTCAATTTGTTCGGTAAGGGACTGGAACGAGTGGAAGTTGGGATGGAATGTTCGACTCTTTGTGGTTGCATATGCTGTAAGTCCTATCGCAAATACTTTTAGGCGATACAAATCAAAATTCAGAGCTGAAACAACAATTGTTATTGGTGCAGGGGATTGTCGGTTCTGGATTGATGTTCTCTCTGATTGCGTGGTGTGTACGCAAGAAAGGCCCGGTTTTCGTTTCGGTCTTCAACCCGTTGATGCTGGTCATGGTGGCAATAGCGGGATCTTTGTTCTTGGACGAGAAGATATACTTGGGAACGTACGTATTATATTATCTCAACCTTTCGTTATTGAACTAAACTTGAGTGTTATATATATTCATGGATAAACATACATAAATGGCACTGTTTTTTCGTACGTGTTTACCTCAGTTTGCTCGGAGGGGGACTAATTGTGACGGGAGTGTACGTCGTATTGTGGGGGAAAGGGAAAGAGGTAGAAGCGACCAAATTGGTACTGGAGGGCAGCGTAGACGGAGGCATGGAAAACCAGATCGAGATGGGTAACCATTCTCCATCGCACAAAGAACCGAGCTTTCATGGGGGTAGCTATCATGGGAGCATACATTTGAAAGGAGGAGGAGGAGGAGAAGAGGGAGAAGATGCCATTGAAGAGGGAAGGGTTTCTCTTGCTGGTTCTGAAGTAATGGGAGGCTATTACTTGATTCTTAACAAAAGCATGAATCAATAATGTATCTCTAATCTTGTGTTTTTGTTGGGTACAAATATATATATATATATTGGATCTATTGTTGTAGCTTCATGGTTTAAGGATGAAATTAAAGAAAATGGGGGGTTTGGGGGCTATGCTATTATAAAATTGTTGCAGAATTGAAGCTGCTAAATTGAGATGCAATGGTACATCTTTTTTTGTATATTTGTATGATTCTTTGAAGAATCAAAGACACCACCATTCTATTTTTCTTCTCTGCATACTCTTAATTTAGCATTCCCTTTTCTTTGAGAGAGTCACTGTTTCAGATTTAGCAACGATTTAAACAGATACAACTTAAATATTTAAGAATTTTAGTGTTTTATAGTGTTACATTGTTCGATTTTTTATAATACTCTCCTGGTTTAGCTCACCGCATTAGGGTTTTCTTGATGCAGTTTACCTCTTTTATTTGGTTTGTACGTTATTAGATACTATTAGGAAATTGATGTCAAACACTTTTCTCTCTTAAACTGTGTGACTTGAAAATATTTGACGTATAATGTGAAAGTATATATATTTATATATAGACAATATAGACAAAAATACTGACCGATAAGAAAAATTATATAGAGCAATTATATAGAAGTTACGGCAGTAAACTTTCAAAAGATTAAATTAATTCACAATTAAAATGATTAAAATATCATTGTTCTTTCCTGACATGGCACTATCTAATTGATTGTTTTAATATTTAATTAAAAGTAAATGGGCCAACTTGTGAACATTATAGTTGTTAAAAGGTGTTAAATTTTGATCTTTAATTTCCGATGTATGAACAATTAATAATGGTAAGAAATGGAATTTGAATTATAATATTGTGCATAAAATAAAATAATATATAAAAAGATTGTGAGGTTATCAATAAATTAAGGCCAACAAAATGTCCTTGTTTTTGTTAACGCAGGCTGAGCTACGAAATTAAAGGTTGATTGCATGCATGCATGCAATGCTAGGTTGTAGGCTAGCTAGCTGGCAGTAGTCAATATTCATAATGAATCGGGGCTGACATAAATCCCACCTGGCCTCCTCCATTTTCCCGTGCCTGCCTGGCATTCATCTGCTCCGTCCATCTAAAACAAGATCAAAGGCTGAAATTCAATAATAAGAGGGAAAAACCAAGTGACATTTTTACAATTTTATACAATTGAATTGATGGTGCATTTGGGGATGCCTCACGGTCTACAAGGAAATGTTTCATGGTGCATTTAAAAATATTTTGAATTTAAATGTATTATCAAATATTTTTAAATGTTCTTCTTCCGTGTCATTATAAGTATTTTTAAATGTACTTTGTATTATGTGCGAATGCACTATCAAATATATCTAAATGCATCAGCATTTTATAAAATTATAAAAACACCACCACCTACAATATCTATTTTAATTGACTTTTAGCCGTTGATTATGTTTAGATTGATGGACTAGATGAATCATTACGTCCGCACTTGGGGAAGCATGTCGCACCAGGCTATATATATATGATTGTTGCAAAAAGAGTACATGGTTAAAGGATTATGGGTAAAAATTATTGTTCTATAAGGGATTGAAGCTATGACATGTTATACTTGTGTAATTATACTAAACTTCTAGACATCAAAACCTTTTACCCATAAGAATCCAAGCATATTCATGGACATGGATGGGCAAGTCAACAAACTTAAGATACAAAAGAGTTAATACCACAAATTGTTTCAAAATACTCCTAAAACCATTCAACTCATTTGAATCATCAAGAATTACACCTAATATACAAATGAATCAAATGAGGAATACTACTTTCGATAAAATTATAACAAATGACATTAAAATAAGCTTAAATCTAGGATAATAATATGAACAATTACACTGTACTTAATTATCAATATTATACAATACTTATTCATTAGCAATATTATTAATTGTTTCAAGCTACCTCCAATTTTGTAGTTGCGTTGCATTATATTAACGATATACTTATCAATTGTTCCAAATTATTAAATCTGTCATAGTAATCTCAAATAACAAGATTTAGAAAAGACCAAAAGACCTCTTTATCAAAAAAAAAAAAAAAATCACACAAAAAATGTTTGGCCAAAAGTATATACCCAAAACTAGGGTTATTTAATGGTAGCTACTTGATTTATGTATACTAACAACTTGATTGTTTTGAGCATTATTCTGGTTTTCTCAAAACTGATGACTAAAATTGTCCCACAAAATCAATCCGACCGAACCCAAAAAAACAAAAAAAAAAATCAAAAAAAACAAAAAACAAAAAACAAAACAACACAACGTAACCTTCCACTAAACCTCGTATTGAGGTTGCTAACTAGACTATTGGTTGACAGCACAGGTCGGAATGGCAATATAATTAGGTTTTCAAATATGGATGCCTCGTCTTCTCCTGCAAATAATTTGGATGAATTATTGAAGTATTATATGTCAATAACATTTAATCAATTCATTCATTTAATAACGCTTATCAATTTGACACGTTGAAAGAACAAGTATATATATTCATCAATTTGTAAATAAATTATATTTATTATAAGAGTGTAGATTTGTAAATTAAACCCTAAAACGAATGGGGATGTTAAGGATATATTAACCAAGGGACCAAATTGATAGCACTAGAAACAATTGAGAGTTTAGATTTTAAATATTGAAAATGAGAGTGATTAAATTGTATAAAAAGTAACAATTAAAAATTAAAAGTGTCATGGTATTTTTTTTTGAAATAATCATGAGATCAAGAAAATGGTCCGATCAACTTAATTTATTGATATCACAATATATATGTACTTGTTGTGACAGTGTGATTGGAGCGGCGGCCATAATCGTGGGGATATATATACATGGTCATATGGGGAAGCAAAAGGAAATATGTTAAGTAGATTTGAATCTGTTCTATACTTTCTCTAAGTACTGCAGCTCAAAGAGTCAATCTTCCATCACTAGGGTTCAGAAGTGGCATCTAAATACAAGGTGCTTGGCGGCTTCATTAGAGTATGTACTAAATATGTTATAATAACATTATATTGTTATTATATTAAACCAAATCAAAATGATGTGAAGTGGTAACTAATGGATTAGTAACAAGTCAAAATGTGATGAAGTGGTTATTAATGGGATTTGAAGTGTGTTAGGTTAATGGATTAGTTTCATTTGTGTTTGTTAAAATTAGTGGATTAGTGACATATTAGTCACTATAAATAGTGTGTTTTATTTTCAATTTCAAATGTAAGAAGAATGTGTGTATTAAGAAGTTCAAGATTTAAACTTTCTCCCATATTAATCCCCTCTCTTTTCCAATTATATTAAGCTACACACACACACAAAGATATATTACATTAAATATATCTTACAAAATACCATGAATCCGTAATATGATTCAGTATAAACTCTTTAAGAAATTGTGGAGTAGTATTAAATTTAAAGATCATATGGGTTCTTCCTAAGTTATATTATTCCTTTGAGATGGACTCTTTTCTTGAATTTGTATATACATAGCACTAGGCACTATGAAAAGTATTGGTACAGTGCAAATCGAAGCAGTGTTGATTAACATCTTAAAGTGTGTGTGTGTGTGTATATATATATATATATATATATATATCACAAAACATTAAAAAATAAAAATATCTTTATTGGGCACCATTATAGCCTTGGTAGCATTTTTTTTTTTTTTTTTGGGATCACGATGAAAATTTGCAACCATTTTATAAGTATATGTTCATTAGGTAAACTTCGCTCATATGTAATAGCTCATAAATCACACAAGAAAACTGCACTAAAAAGATTGTGTGACACACTCAACAAATATAGTGTTGACAAAAATTAAACTCTGTACATTTTTATAACCAATATAATTTGATGGATATAATTCGAATTACATAATTTTACATAATTACCCCAATATAAGGATTCTTGACTCTTAAACTTCTCTCAATGCTGGAGAGAAATTAAATTATTTGCTCACAAAATGTGAAATTTTCTTACTCAAAATTTCTCATCAATTGCTCCCTATGTATCCCATTGGCAATGCTTTTGTATACGCAATTTCTTGGGGGGAAGGACCGAAAGCAATGAAAATTGGATTGGAATTGAACGATGACAATCTTTTTGTGGGTCTTTTACATATATAAATATAATAATAATTGTAAAAACTGGCGTAACTTGATGATGTACATATTAGAAATGAAATCGGAGTAAACCGATCCGGTAGAGCAGAGCAAGACAGGGGTCCAGTTGGACCCGAAGTCTCGGAGTCGAGTCCCGGGCTCAAGCTCGACCTCGACGAATGGGTGATGGATATGGGGTCAGGCGAAAGCGAGGCCCGACCTTGAGGCCGGGCATGGTCAAAGTTGTTGCAACTAATTCTTCATCCCTCATTTTTAGGGGGCGATTAAAATTTACGAAGTTTATTAGTATAAATATTTACCTAATTGTCATGTTGAGACATTATGAAATCTATTGTAATAGCATTACATTGTTCCTGAATACAATATCTTTGTCTTTCCAATATCATTCTTACCTTTTACCACTATCTTTTATCTACTTATCTATCCTTTAATTATTGAATTTATTGATTTGGGCCATCCAAATTAATTAAATCCATCGCTTCTCACCAAATTATCCAGAATATATGAGCTGATATAATTGCTGAATGATTGTGGGTTCTGGACTAATGTGTCGCCACGCAATCCTCTTCGCCTGATCATCATGATACCAATTTTCTAAAAGCATCCAAAAAAAACCATCTAAAAAATCAATCTGGAAAATGCTCTAATCATCAACTTCAATCTATTGTACTGTTCCAGTTTTTTGGTTGTTTTAAACGTTGGAAATTGAAGCATATGTTTGTCGCAGGTTTCTTGGAGGCGGCCGCGGTGACAGGGCTGTACACAGTACATTACTGTACTTTGTGGGAAAAGATAAAAGAGACAAATCATATCGCAGGGTGAACTGTGAAGTCGATGATGCCAGAAAATAGTAGAGGTGAACTAGAATTTGTGCGATGAATCATGAATGAGGTATATTTGTAAGAATCAAATTTATAAACTTTTAAAGTCAGTTTGACAAGTCGAAAATTTGGATTTTTAGTGTTTGATTAAATGGGAAAAATAGGGGTGTGGTTAAAGAAAAATAGAAGAGATTTTTTAGAAACTAACTTCTCCTTTTTAAGAAGTCATTTTCCGTTTGGTGCAGTGGAGCAGCCATTCATCCCGCCCCGCCACCACCACCAT